CGTGTCCGACTCTGTACGACCCCATAGACGGCAGCCCACCAGGCTCCCCCGTCCCTGGGATTCTCCAGGCAGGAACACTGGAGGGGGCAGCCATTTCCCTCTCCAGTGCGTGCATGCGTGCATGCTAAGTCGTGTCCGACTCTGTGTGACCCCATGGACAGCAGCCCACCAGGCTCCCCCGTCCCTGGGATTCTCCAGGCAGGAACACTGGAGTGGGCTGCCATTTCCCTCTCCAGTGCGTGCATGCGTGCATGCTAAGTCGTGTCTGACTCTGTGCGACCCCATGGACAGCAGCCCACCAGGCTCCCCCGTCCCTGGGACTCTCCAGGCAGGAACACTGGAGGGGGCTGCCATTTCCCTCTCCAGTGCGTGCATGCGTGCATGCTAAGTCGTGTCCGACTCTGTACGACCCCATGGACGGCAGCCCACCAGGCTCCCCCGTCCCTGGGACTCTCCAGGCAGGAACCCTGGAGGGGGCTGCCATTTCCCTCTCCAGTGCGTGCATGCATGCATGCTAAATCGTGTCCGACTCTGTACGACCCCATGGACGGCAGCCCACCAGGCTCCCCCGTCCCTGGGGTTCTCCAGGCAGGAACCCTGGAGGGGGCTGCCATTTCCCTCTCCAGTGCATGCATGCGTGCATGCTAAGTCGTGTCCGACTCTGTGTGACCCCATGGACAGCAGCCCACCAGGCTCCCCCGTCCCTGGGATTCTCCAGGCAGGAACACTGGAGTGGGCTGCCATTTCCCTCTCCAGTGCGTGCATGCGTGCATGCTAAGTCGTGTCTGACTCTGTGCGACCCCATGGACAGCAGCCCACCAGGCTCCCCCGTCCCTGGGACTCTCCAGGCAGGAACACTGGAGGGGGCTGCCATTTCCCTCTCCAGTGCGTGCATGCATGCATGCTAAATCGTGTCCGACTCTGTACGACCCCATGGACAGCAGCCCACCAGGCTCCCCCGTCCCTGGGACTCTCCAGGCAGGAACCCTGGAGGGGGCTGCCATTTCCCTCTCCAGTGCGTGCATGCGTGCATGCTAAGTCGTGTCCGACTCTGTACGACCCCATGGACAGCAGCCCACCAGGCTCCCCCGTCCCTGGGATTCTCCAGGCAGGAACACTGGAGTGGGCTGCCATTTCTTTCTCCAGTCGCTGTCAAAGGCAGCATTATTCGGCAGGAGCTCACTCATGGCTGGGGTTTTTGGCTTTGTTTTATGTTTTGCTGCCTGAGATCTCAGCTTCCATCACTTTTCTAGGGACCGATCCTTTTCCATTGAAATCTGGAGGTGATAAGGGCCAGAAGCCTAAATAACAAGATCTGCAATCTGTAGAGGTAGGCTCTGGAGATTCAAGAGTCTTGTGAATGTGGACATGGCCCCTGGATCCACCTGCAAAGCCTTCCCCTTGTAGTCTTATCTGTCTAGTTCTGAACCGAAAAGGAATTTGCTTCAGTTCAAAAAAAAATTGTAAATAAAACCAGATCTGAAAGAGACACATGCACCCCAATGTTCATCGCAGCACTGTTTATAATAACCAGGACATGAAAGCAACCTAGATGCCCATCAGCAGACGAATGGATGAGGAAGCTGTGGTACATATACACCATGGAATATTACTCAGCCATTAAAAAGAATTCATTTGAATCAGTTCTAATGAGATGGATGAAACTGGAGCCCATTATACAGAGTGAAGTAAGCCAGAAAGATAAAGACCAATACAGTATACTAACGCATATATATGGAATTTAGAAAGATGGTAACGATAACCCTATATGCAAAACAGAAAAAGAGACACAGATGTACAGAACAGACTTTTGGACTCTGTGGGAGAAGGCGAGGGTGGGATGTTTAGGGAGAACAGCATTGAAACATGTATATTATCAAGGATGAGACAGATCACCAGCCCGGGTTGGATGCATGAGACAAGTGCTCGGGGCTGGTGCACTGGGAAGACCCAGAGGGATGGGATGGGGAGGGAGGTGGGAGGGGGGATCGGGATGGGGAACTCATCCATGGCTGATTCATGTCAATGTATGGCAGCAACCACTACAATATTGTAAAGTAATTAGCTTCCAACTAATAAAAATAAATGGAAAAAAATTTGACAGCTTGTTCACTAAAGGCTTCTGTGTATATGTTAAGAGGCTCGAGGAGTTTTGTGTATATCCCACAGACTCAGAGAGAACTTATTCTTCTCCATTTGTTTACTCCTGACATGTGTGTATATGGTGGCATGCACACTAGCCGTGGAGGTGTCTGTGCATTTAGACCGAGCACGCTGCCATTTAGATCCAGGGCTCTGAGTGATCCACCATTCCTTGGGTTGTATTTTATGCTGCTCAAAAGCTATGATATTTAAAGGCACAACAATGAAAGACTCTTGTGTACTTACTATAGTGAATGTCCTCTGTGGTTCAGTTGCTCAGTTGTGTCCAACTCTTTGCGACCCATGGACTGGGTATGTCAGGCTCCTCTGTCCTTCCCTGTCTCCTGGAGTTCGCTCAAACTCATGCTCACTGAGTCAGTGATATCATCCAACCATTTCATTCTCTGTCACCCCCTTTTTCTCCTGCCCTCAATCTTTCCCAGCATCAGGGTTTTTTTTCCAGTGAGTCAGTTCTTCGCATCAGGTGGCCAAAGTATTGGAGCTTCAGTATTATCCCTTCCAATGACTATTCAGGGTTGATTTCCTTTAGGATGGACTGGTTTGATCTCCTTGCAGTCTAAGGGACTCTCAGGAGTCTTCTCCAACACTACAATTGAAAAACACCAATTCTTTGGTGTTTGGTAGGGCTGTGTAACAAAAATGCCATGGTATTAATTTATTTTCTCTCTGTTCTGGAGGCCAGATGTCCAAGATCAATGTGCTGTGAGGTTTGTTTCTGGTGAGACCACTCTTCCTGGCTCACAGATGACCACCTTCTGGTTGTGTTCTCATGGGACCCTTCCTCTGTGTGAGAGAGGAAGAGAGAACTCTGGGTCTCTTCCTTTTTTTTGTAAGGACACTGGTCCTGTTAGATCAGATACCACCCTCATGACCTCTTTGGACCTTAATCACCTCCCTAAAGGCCCACCTTTAAATACAGTCACTTTGGGGGATGGGGCTCCAGTATATGAACACAATGCAGTCCGTAACAGGAATAATCAAACACTGAACTCATAGGACTGGCATGAGGTTTAAGTGGATTGACTCCTAAGAGGGGCTTAGCACAGTGCCCGGCACAGAGTAAGGACTGCCACCTTCGTTAGCTGTTTTTACTTCTGGAAATAGTCATAGCTTCATAAAATCAATCCCATGCTTATTATGACAGTGAGCACACCTCGGAAAGTGGTGGAACAAGTGCTGTTTTGGCAGGCGGAGGTCAGAGTTGGCCTCTGTCTCCTGCAGCCTAAGCGATGGCACCCTCAGGACCTCAGGGGGAGGAGGGGGCTTGGAGACACTCAACGCCTTGGCAGCTGGGAGTGCGGTTCTATGATCTTCTGCACTGTTCTGAGCAAGGCAGCCCACAGAGTGTGATTGGAAGGTGGCTTGGATGGATGACTGGCCCAGTCTGATCTGCCCACTTCAGAATTGCTGGGCAAGGGTGGCCTGGCAGGGCTGAGTGTAAACGTTCAAGCTCGGCTCGGGGTGGGAGCAGGGTTTCATTATCCTCTGTAGTCCCGGAATCCAGCCGGCTGCCTGTGGACACATCGTAAGTAATGGATACACGGAAAGGTAAATAAATGATGAGTGAATGACATCGTTCTGTTAGTTCAAGATTCTGTGAGATGCTGAGGACTGTTGGCTGTTTTGGTTCTGGCAAAAAAAGGAAAAGGAAAGGAAGGAAGGAAAAAAGAAAAGAAAAAGTACAAAGACAGAAACGGAAGGATGTACAGACATACAGACAAGGAAGGATGGAAGGAAGGAAGGAGGGAAGAGAGAGAAAAGGGGGGAAGGTGGGAGAGGAAGGAAAGGAGTGAACAGGATGTGCTCTGCCCCCTTGAAGGGCAGAAGGGCTCAGGACCTGGCTGTCGTGGGCTTCACCTTCGCTTACTGTGTACGTCTGCACATCAATCCCTCTCTGCTCCCCGTGTCCCCGGGGCCATGCTGAGGCTGGCCCCGCTTGGGTCCTCTTGCCAAGGAGGATGGAGTGTCTGCAACCTACCGGTGTGAGTGCAGAGCGTGGGGAATAAAGGAGCCAAGACAGGAGAGGAGGAGATGGAGGCAGGAAAGCTTCCGGGCAGTTCCTGCCCTCACCCTTTTCTCTCCTCTCTCTCGTCTTTCTCTTGCACCTCTTCTAACTCTGGAAAGTCTTGTGCAAAAGGGAAAAGGCCTTCAGAAGAGGCCCAGAGGAGTCTGGCTGGGCACTCGGTGGGCATATATGTATGGTGCAGGCTGAGCCCTGGTCCTGGGACGAGCTGAGCGCGCGCGCGCACACACACACACACACACACGTAACTGAGGAGGTCCACGGGGATGGGAGTGGAAGGACCACATTCTGGAAGACAGGGGCTCCAGGTCAAGGCAAGCACTTGTCACTCACTCTCAGTAACCTTTGCACGCAGGCTGACTCCTCCACTTCCTCACCTAGGAAAAATGATCGATGATCTCCAGAGGCCCTTCTGGCCCCTTCTGGCCCCTTCTGGCCCCTAGGTCTTATGATTAAGCTGCATAATCTTACTCTTCCACCGACAGGATTATCTCACCCCAGAAGCTCGGAAGGAGGCTTGGTGCTGCCTTTGAGAGATGCAGAGAGATGCGGGATGCTGGGTGCTGGGGGTTAGAGGAGAGGGGCTGGCGGGGCGCTCAGCTTCAGATTTCCTGGGATTTCTCAGGAATTTCCCAAGACCCCAGCCAGCAAGCTGGTGTCCCAAATGGTAGAAATTAGGGGACAAACGTGTGTAAACAGGCTAAGAAAGTGGCTGTGAAGACTTGGGGCGGGGGTGAAACCCAGGAGAATCTGGGCATGATGCCCACTGGGCGTCTGTGCCCCCATCATGGGGGTCATCACCCCGTCAGCTCACCGAGGTCGGCGTTCAGACAGAACTGGATGGCCCAGGAGGAGACAGACCGACACTGCCAGGGCCAGAGCTTAGACATGTCTCTAAAACAGAGAAAAGAGATTTGGGATTTAGGGGTTAAAATTCCCAGTAGTTTCTAAAAAACTGCCCCCCAAAATGAATAATCAAAGACATTTTGGCCATTTGCTCATAAATAGAGCAGCTCAATAGCACAAGAAATCATGCTGGCAGTGCAGGGAAGCATAAAGGCTCTGAATTATGTATAAATGTGTCATGTGAGAAGAAAAAGTGCTAAGGAAATAGTGTAAGAAAAATAAATAAAACCACATTAAAAGTGAGCAAGTCCCATTTGGTCAGTTATGTCAAACATAAAGCAACAAAAACCAGTGTTTGGGAGTTAACAACATTTTTAATTTTACTGCTGCCTTTTCCATTATAGACTGCATCAAGGTGTGAATGGGGCTGAGGCTGCAACATTGATTTCTTATGTTCACATTAAATATACATATATTTTAAAAGAATTTGCAAGGTAGGGTGTGCATAAAAGTATTGAATCAGAACAGACAGCCCCCTGGCCGTTGTTACTTCCTCAAAGAAACAGCCAACAGGCATCTCCTGGGATGTCGTCTCATTGGATGTTCCAAAGACTTGACTCCGAGATTTCTATGGTAACTCACTACGGTTCATATACTTCTTTGGGCCTTAATTTTCCCATCTCTGAAGCTGGCATTTTTTTCTTATTTATTAACAATAGCAACAATAGAATTATGGTTCGGTGAAGACTTGTATCTGTTGAACTAAAGGTTCCTGTGTATATGAGGAGTAAGACCCCCAAGTACTAGACCATGGTCCGAGGCACCAGAAACATGGAGAACTTGCTTTAAACGTGGTCTTGAAGAAGCAAAGACACTGCATGTCCCCCCCTGTTGTTGCTATTCCTGCGGTTGTTTGGTTTGCCTTCGGGTGCACCACTAAACTTTTCTGCTTTAGATTTCAAGGAGGAAACACAATGCCGCATGAATCTGAAGAAGCACCCGTTTGGAAATGCTGAGTGCAGCTGCTACAGGGTTCAGGATGCAGGCTGGAGAGCCACGGATGTGCAGGCGGGGGCCTCCGCGCACCGTGTCCCGGGGTCCTTCTCTCCACATGCTGTCCCCGGGTTTCCTCTCCTTTCAGCTGGACTCTGAGGAGCAGAGCTGTAGGGAGGGGGGTGAGTTTTGACAATAAGGGCTCTAAGTAACATCCACCTTCTCTGCAGTGATGACGCTCCATCCTCATACGTGGATGGCTCAGATTTCATTATAGCTTTTTTTGACACTGGAAGCTTGGCCAGTACTCTAGCAGTTGCTGGCAGTAAATATGCTGCATTAAAACATAATTATGAGATGCTAGTCTGTCTACAACACAATATAATAAAAATACTAGAGGGAATAAAAATTCTTTTCACACTTTCATCTGTCTTTACTATTCACCAAGCACTTTCACAGGCATTATTATCTTATTTTGATTGGGAAACTTACAATACGTCATGAAGTGGTTGAAGCAGGTATCCTCCAGAAGGTTGTTTGTAGCCTGTGACTAGCTTTCCACTTCCAATTTAAAAATAAGCGAGCCAACAGTTGGTATTCATGCCCATATTATTTTGTTGCTTTATCAAGGTTAGTAATTTCCATTTTAGTTTATAAAAAAAGTGTTGATCAATTTCACTGAGGTTTCAAATACTCATTACCTTGGAGAACTAACCATATTCAAGTTGGTGCAAATAGAATATGGCACAGTTGCAATTTTGAACTGAAAAGACCCCTATATACAAACTGTGCCCTTTTCCAACTTCATATCTGTAAGGATTAATCATGGTGAGCAGACTGGATGCAATTTTACTGGACTGGTTTCAACACTGTGCAGGCTGGGTTTTATTTGTCCTTATCAAGTCTATGATAGAGAGTCCTTGTTACTAATCCAGATCCTAGAGCCACTGCAAGGTAAGAATGGGGAACGTCAACTTGGGTTGATGTAGCCTTTGGTCTTGAGGTGAAATAAAAATTCCTACTTTTTTTTGTATTTTTTTTTTTAAAATCAAGGTTTAGAAGTAAACCTTGGAGGTGGCTACAGGGTTGTTGAAGGAAGTTCAAATTTGGAATAAAGTTTTTAATCAAGTCTTTGTATCAAAGGATTAGTAGTGAGACACGAGATATGTCTCATCACCTCCATAAGGCTATCTTCCTCTTGCTGAAATAGGATGATCAAGACCCCCAGGTCGTAGAAAACCTTTGTGGTAGGGGGTGACAGGATCAAGTGAGGAAGCAAACATGGAATCCTCCTGCGAAATGTCACACTGGAAAGAAATGTAAATGGCTGTCTTCTGTGGCAGGGACACAGCTCTGCTGGGGGCTGATGTGAGAGACGTTGCATAAAGACACGTGAATGTGAAAGTGAAGCTAGGACTCTAATGCTGTCATAGGGGAAATGTGCTGCTACTTTGCCTGTTTACACTTGACTTCTTTATGGTTATTTATCATCAAGCCAGTCACTATGCTACTGGCCAAATCCACCTTTTATCCTCTTTTGAAGAACTGATTGCAAGCACTTGTATTTTGATAAATAGAGTTAGATAAGTATATTCTACACAAACAGACCCCCGTTCTTCTTGGCAACGGACTTCATGACTATTGCTCCTTATTGCTACGCTTCCATTGTGGAGCTCTTAAAAATAATTCTGGTCCACTTTCTGTATTTGCTACTGCTTTGAATTACAGAGAGTTAAGTAGGAAAATAATTGACCTGTTCTCTAAAGTCTTTTCCTTGGATGAAATTATATTACTCAGACAGGGCATATTCACAGGGGATTCTTACAAGCCTATCTATTTACTTGTTTATTTTATTACGCTGCTGCTCCTGTAACAGGTGTGTGTGAAGGAGTAAGCCTGAAGTTGGCCAAGAAGATAAGGCAGATGGCAGCCTGGGTGTGGGCTCCGAGGTGAAGAAGTGTCCTTACTGGGATGTGGATCAGAATCCAGATCTGTCAGGATCGGGGGAATGGTGGCAATTATGTCAACTGCTCATTTGTTTGTTGTCTTTCTTTCTTTTTTACCAAATGTAATGTTGACTGTTTTGCCTGAGATAAAGAAAAAAAAATTACTAATGGTTGGTATCAATCTTTCTGTCATCTATTTGAAATCTCCTAGAAGAGGGAAAGGATGAAAATAAAATGTGTTTAGTTGCAAATGCCTCATTTGAAAGCTTTATTCACCCAAGAAATGTCCTGAAAGTTGCATTTAGCTGACTAAAGAGAAATGTGGTAAATAACGAAAGGAAAATTACTAAGACACGCTTAAAGAAGGCTTAGGTTAGCTGCTTGGGGACCGGCAAAATAGCAATTAAGTTTATAGAATGAAGGGATTAAAAGAAACGTAAATGAAAAGTAGAAGGAAATAAACTCTGTTCTAATCTCTAAAAATGGCTTAAATAAAATGCTCATTATAGAATGGGTTCATGAAGCACACGCGAAGCTGTGGGGATTAGCAGGCATGGATTTAAAACCTGCTTTTGACGATGCTAACAAAATGCTGTGCTGTGGCTCCATCCTCGAGTTCCTCCGCAGCCCTTGCAATAGGAATTCTATCTAAGGCCAAGTGACTTTTCAGTTCTGTACTCAGAATTAATCAAAAATGTTTTTAACTGATTCATTCCTAGGTGAGATACCATACACACGTAACACACTCACAGATACTCAAACAAATATATATACATAAACATATCTATATTTATATATGTACTGGAAAAGGAAATGGAAACCCACTCCAGTATTCTTGCCTGGGCAATCCCATGGACAGAGGAGCCTGGAAGACCACAGTCCATGGGGTCTCAAAGAGTTAGACACGACTTAGTGACTAAGAAGCAGCATATATAGGTATATTCTGCGAGTACACATATACAGAGGTGTATATATATGAATATGCATGTGTATAAATAGGTGTATATATATGCATGTGTGTATATATAGGCATGTATGTGTGTATCTGTGGTTGTGTACAACTAAGTTGTTGTTTAGTCACTAAGTCATGTCTGACCCTGCCACTCCAGGTCTCCCTGTCCCTTACTATCTCCCAGAGCTTGCCCAAGTTGTGTACTTCTATATATAGAGGCACATATATATATGTCTGTGTGTGTGTGTGTCATACATTTAGTTTTGAGTCCCTTCATGTTAGCAAATTGTACCAAACTGTAGATGGGAGACTGCAAAATGACCTCTGAAATGAAGTTATTGCAGTTCAGGGATGGAAAGGAAATGAATAACCAAATGTACCTCCTATCTTAACTTGAAGGCATTTCCATAATTGATGCTCCCCGAGCCCTCTGTGAGCGCCGGGCTCCCGAGCTGAGGGATTTGGCTTGAAAAGGCCCTGACACTGAATGATTCATGGCCTGGCCCTCCGTGAGCTGCCATCTCTGCTCTGCACAGAACAGGCTGGGCCATGGGGTGCAGAGGCCTCGCTTCCTTAGGCAGGGAGCCTGATGGTGGGGTACTGCCTGGGCCAAGAGACCAGGAGGGGGGCCTGTGTCCCCTGGGAGGGGTGAGAGGGAGCCCCAAGACCCCGGGGAGGTGTTGGGACAGGGTTTATCAGTGCCCAGGGTGGGCAGCTGCTTCATCCGGATCTGACTGTCTTGAGAGGTCTGGAGAAAACACCCATTTATCTGGCAAGCCCCACTGCTTTCTGTGTGAAGCTATTTTGTCATCTTGAATATTTCATCACTCTCCGATCATCTTCCCTTTGGTTTGCTAAGCACTCTTATTATACAAACCCCTTGGTGCTGAAGGATCTGAAGCTGATTCACCCCCCGTGAAATCCCCATTTCCAGTGTAGAGGGAGATCTTTGCCTTGTGAGAATTTACCCACCACATGTACCGTTGCCAAGAGGACCTCAGAAAGGGTGGTGATTCTATCACTTGCGGAAATCCGTGATTGAATAAATGATAAAACAATTACAGACAGATACAGCTACGTAGAATAAGACTGATCATTTGACATGTATGTTAAAAATCAGAAATGGCCAGGGCCTTTCTACAATTTGTAATACTAGG